ATTGTTATTAATAAAATTAGTAACGTCAGTCAATATTCATAAATTTATAAATAAATGAAATATAATTAATAAATATTTAACAATAAAATTATTAAACAAGATAAACAGTTAATGTAAATTTAAAGTAGTCCATTTTGACGTATTTTTCCATTATAGATTTTTTTTATAAAAAATTTATAATTTATAAATTATTATTATTAATTAGTACGTATATATGCATTATGTGTATATAAAATATTCTCTGTTCGCGTGAATATTATACGAATATTATAATATTACGCGATTGTATCAACAATCTTATCCCCCAGTTATGTATGACATAATCAATGATAAACACAGGCTCCCTCCCTTTTTTAGTATTCGGTGCAAGCATAATAACGAAAATGGTCATAAGTGAAATTCAACACCTAAATTATTTACTAACGTTAATGCAACTTATCAAAAATTATCATTATTCATTTCGTTGTTCCTTCAATTTGAATTGATCGTAAATGATGCATGATGCATGATGCATGAAAACGAATCTACTGTGTACACAAATAAATGTCATATACAAGGTGTTCTGGTGATCAGAGTACAATTGACACAGTGATTTTACGTGGAGAAGTAAATCAAAAATATAGAACAAAATTTCATATGTGAATTTGACTAATTACATGCAGTAAACATCAGAATTTTATTCTGTACGTGAAAACAGTTGAAAAATGTGAAATAAAATTTTTCCATTTGACACATTATTTTACAGTCAATCAAAAATTTCAAATTTTAGTTTTTCCCAAAGCAAAGCATCGTATGAGAAAATTTCAACTTGTTTTTTTTTCCACAAAGAATCGCCATCTTGTCGATTGTTACCAAGACACCATGTATATGTACGTCATGTGTCACATACATACATATATATATATATATATACACACACAATAGCAGCATGCCGCGGCATAGACAGACGATACGTACGTCTGCATATACGTCCATACGTACACCCACGTACGTATCGGCTACACCTATTGGCCATAAAAAGTACTTACTTGAATGAATTGTATCGTGATCGCAGATTTTCCGACACCGCCCGTGCCAACGACGACGAGCTTGTATGTCTGCGCATAGCTTGGTTTGTCACCTAGCTTCGACATTTTTCATATGATCGGCAAGGTGTGAGAATTCCAGAGATATGCTCAGCGACACATATTGAAAATAGCACGATGAAACGTAGAAAAATACAAAATCGAGGCGCGTTCACATGCAGGCACGTACTGCGATCTCTTGGCACAGGAAGGATCCGGTACAGCAGATGCTGTACATCTTCTTACTGGTACTATATAGTTGACGGACTCAAAGGCGACTAAACATCGTAAGTCTCTCCTGTAAACGCGAACTTATTAAAAGTTACCCGTGCTAACGAATGGAACGAGAGAGACGCTAGAAGAAATATCCCCCCACCTTGTTTGTGTGCACCTACACACGCACGTGTGTACCATATCGTGGCTATTTCGATTGATTGCGCAGTCGCCATTACGATACCGCCCTCTTATGCGCGTATACCTACCTGACGTTACGAATGATTTCAAAATCACCTCGGTCAACGCGTAACAATCTCGTTAGTTTGTATTATTCGAAAAAAAAAAAGAACAGTCAATCCTTTTTTGGGATTGTCTCATTCTAACGCATATTACGATAGAATTGCAAAACACGTATTACGATAGAGGCACGGAATTTTATTTCGAAGACGATGGTACGTTTGATGCGTAACGTATATATTAATGTATTCGGATGAAAGTATGACGGTAAGGAAAGCATATCTTAATAGAAATACAAAATCTTTTTTGCAATAATTTGTTAATTATTATCGCAATCTTTTTTACTCAATAGATCACCGAATCTTTCGTTTACCGAATTGGACGTTTTGTCTGTTAGTTTGAAACAAAGTTGCATGATACAGGCATTGTACACTGCTATGACTACTTCATAGTAAACGTTGTCCGATATGAATGGACGCTTCTCTCGAATTTGGTTGGAACAATTAGAGAATAGACAACTAGTGGATTTGAAAATAAAACAAATTATATGAATTATACAGAAATGAGATGTAACAGATGAAACGAGATACAGTTTGAAATTATTGAAGACAATTGTTTAAACGATCTTGAAACTACTGTGGTATTTAATTATATTAACTTGTGTCTTTAATCTTAAATACAAAGGTATACACAAATGTCTGTATAAATAAAATTCTTATCATATACTTGTAAAGCAAGGCATTTTAATTAATATAAATGGACAACACGAGAAATTATAAAAATTTATATTATATGTACATCGTTTTGAAGATATCTCATTATGTTCAAACACAGCTATTGTGATGTTTAATCCAAAAGAAAAAACAATGTCTCTCGTATCTTTATTAATGATTGATTTCCAGTGTAAAAATTTTTTTAATAATTTCGAACATAGTCGTAAAAGAAACTAAACAAAAAGGTAACTGTCATCGTCAAAAAATGAACACATATAAAATCAGACATTCTCTTTCTCTAATTTGTAATATTTCACAAAGCTTTAATTATACACGCTATAATTGCATAGTATGTACAATCTTTTTCCTCTGTTTTTTCTTTTTTTTTTTTCATCATTTTTTCCTTTTTTACATAACACATAGTATTATTTGGTTATTATAGAAAATATTAATATATTTTGGTTCCAGTGTTCTCATGATTTTTGAACAACATATTTACATTCCTCAAATAATTCTAACCCCCTCTCTTTGTTGTTTGTTAAAAAAAATTACACAATATTGAGATATTTGTTGCATTGCACTGGAACGTTTGGACATTGCACGTAACGTGTTTTTCTTTCCAGTAGTATAATTATGTGTGGATTTTTAACTGCAGTTGTTCCAAAAACACAAGAATCTTTTTCTCTCTTCATTTAGGCGTTTACACCGTTATAATGTATGAAACGAAGAATCGAGATAGAAGAATTTACAACTTACTCGAATTGTATTACGTTCACTAGAAGTATATGCAACATAATACCTTATTAGACAAATATCTTTTTTTTTTTTATTTTTAAATTTTAATTAAGGCCCCGTTAATATTCGGTTCGACTATTTTTTACCACGCGCGAAAAATTATTTCTCACATTACAGTTAAATGACCTGTACATTTTTAATAAATATTTTAAATTCATAAACAAAATATTATGTCAAAAAGCATTTGAAATATTATTATTTGTTATAATTGTACAACTTTTTGCGATGTACAATTACACATTTTCATCATTTATACTTTTTGCTTGAAGTCATTCTTTAAGAATGTCTTGAACCAAACAGTATGTTGTTACAGTAACTAAAATATGATTACCCTTAATTTTTCATACATTTCTTTTAGACACACATGATTATGATTATAATTCCGAAAATAATTTCTTTTTCTTTTTTATGCATAGGCCAAAGTGCACTATTTGATTTAAATTGTTCTTTTTTTTTTTTTTTTAAGAAAAAATTCTTTTACGCAAATAAAATATCATTGTTCTTATAAAAAAAACAATAGTGCAATAATAATGCCAATGACAATGATAACGGTAATAATAATACATCATACAAAACAAGAGAAAAATTAAAAAAGTATTTTTTAGCTGAAACGCATTGTCATAGACATTGGTGGTAAATGTTACAACATTAGAGGCCTCGCATCACCTTTTTTTTTTTGATTTTTCGAAATATTTTTTTTTCATACTTCTGTGCTATAAAAGAGATGCTCTCATCACGTCATTAAATTATAATGACGAGATTAATGGTAATAATCGTAATAGCACTAATGATAACAACAATAACAATAATTAATAAAAATAATTTTGTGTCGGTGGTAATACCAATGGTTAAAGTGATAATGACGACAGCGACAATGACAAAGATGATACTAACGATTATATGATTTTTAGGAATAAAGTAAGATTAGTGCTTATGATGATAATATCATCGAGACTGATATTTGAGTGAAATGATTGCCAGTTATGTATTTTTTAGTATGATTGATTCGTATATTCAAAATGACAGTCTCAATTTGAATAATGTTAGGACTCAATAATGATGACAAGGGTGGTGTATTAACATGAGCATTTATAGAAATAAAGAGCAATCATGAATTGCAATAGAAATCGATTTAATAGATTGATCATCGATCAATCTCTTTAATATTTGCAGGGATTCTTCACAAGTTTCAGGATAATAATAGAATAAGATAATAAAATTACTAATCAATAATAACATAAGGCAATATGTGGAGGATCTGGCCATTGCAACTGGGCCTTGCTAGCATCTGATGCCATTCTCGAAATTCTTCGTCAGGTTGGCTATGCACATTGTTTACACCGTTAATTTCTGATGGTTCTTCCCTTACTTCTGGCTTCTCGTTAGAAGTCGAAGTTAAAGATGACAATTTTGGTTGGAAGTTTCCATTCAGTCCTTCTACACACTGTACATGTAACCTTTCTATATCCTCTGCAGTAACTTGTCTAGGTGGATATTCCGTATTTTGATCTTCGGTTGGTTCAGTTTCACACTCACTCCAATCTATTGAACTTGGATCTATTGGTGGTAACTTTGCCAATATTTCCTCGACCGTTAAATCTTGACACTGTTCTGGTTGATTATTTTGAACATTTGTAACTGATTTTTCTTTGTACACTACACCTGATTCTTCACACTTAGATGGTACATCGTGACAGTTTTCTGTGGGCTTTAACCGACTTTCTGGTGAGGCTTCAGAAACTGCATTTCTATGAGATAAATTGTTCTGAGGACCACGAAGGAACTTTGATACCTGTTCATTGCTATTCCTCAGAATATCTTCCATGCTGGATGATTCTACACTTTGACTAGGTTGAGCACTTGAATTAATGCTAGAATTGGTGCCGCGTGCCCGTAAATCAGCCAGCAATTCTTGAGTTGTTTTTAATTTAGGATTCCTCGAGATACTAGCTAGCTTTTCCTTTACACGATCTTCTAAAACCGGCTGCTTTTTCATGGATTTACTGCCTTTCTTTCTACCACGTTTCTTTGGCCCTGATTCATCAGGATCTGTGGAAGACTCCGTAAACTGATCAGAGATTCTTTCTTTAAATGTGGGGCTAGGCACTTGCATATTTAAATTACCACTTATATTTTCGCCATTTAGACGTTGCTTTTTAATAAAGGATTCACTTTTGGTGATTGAGTCTGAATCATGGTGCTGATAATTATGTTGGTCCTTGAAATCGTCTTTTCGAAGACGTTTGTTTGAACTATGAGTTCGTGGCACTGCTTCCATAGAGTGATGTTGGCTTGAAGAACCAAGCGTAGGTGGCACATCAGAACTTGTTCTGTGGTTGCTGGTTACTGTAATTGACTGCTTATTCGACGATGCATTAGGAGAATGTGAATGATCACTATGCACAGATAGAACTGGACTAAGCACCTGTAATCCAAACAGTATAACAGTTTTAAACACAACCTGTTAATTTATTATAATATTATATTAGCTACTATACTATTTCTCGTTTAAATGATTTAATTATTTTCTATTATGTTCATATCGTATGTAAATTTCTTAACCTACATGTTGAAGATAGAATTTTCTTTTCAATTCATTGGAAATTTAATTGTTTTAAAATGAAGAACCTTAACAACTGACAATGCATAAAATGATAAAAAGGAAAAATTAGCAAAAAATACTCACTCTGAGTGGAGTAGTATCCCTTAACAATGGGCTCTGAGGTGGCATTAGACCTCTTAATGCTGGACTCTGTGGTTTGAAACATCTTAGTGCAGGGCTATGTGGCTTTGCTCCATTGAGAGCAGGTGGTGCTGTGTCTGCAGGTGTAGGTTGTGGAGTAGAATGAGCAGAAGGTAAAACCATATCACGCCATCTTCGTACCAAATCCTTTGCACGCTTAGCCAAGGCATCATTGTCTGTCTTTCTTCGAAGTTCATTGATGTATTTTCCAAGTCTTGTAATCTGAAATAATTCAAGATTACACAACTAACTAAAAAAGTAAGAGAAATGAGAAATGGGACGAGATGATGTAATTTCTATCCTTTAAATGTATTATTTATTCAGTACACTATATTCATAGAATTTTTACCTCAAGAACTTCTTTAGTGATCGTCGTCTTTTCCAGGGCCGTAACGACATCCACAACAGCTCCCATGTCGATGACCTAACAAAGTTTGATAATTGTGTCATTATGAGATATTGATTTTCCAGTTTTTATTAAATATCAATACGTTAAATTACTAGAATTGATTAATAAAATAATTATATAATTATGAAAATACCTCCCAATATGCATTGTATATGTGTGGTGTGTGTATATATATGTGTGTGTGTGTGTGTATTCCGATTTCGTACGTATTTAGAGAAACGAATATTTGTATAATGTTTCTACATAACTGTATAAAAACTGATGAAATTTCATTGTACTTATTCTATATTAATTTCTCAATGCACTTATTATTGAAAATAACAAAAGATGATCAATGTATATTGCGGGCATTGTTTTCGAAATTTTGTTTTTACTTAGAAAAGAAAAAAAACAAGTTAATTAAAAAAAGAGTAGATTTAATACTTAAAATATTTTAATGCTTTATTAACATACAGAAAGTTTTAGAATTCCGATAAATTTACATGCTTTTTTTTTTTTTTTTCTCAAATAAATCACCACAATTTGACAACAATTCGATAACATTGTTAAAAAACGTAACAAAAGATCGTTTTCTTGTCCGATAAGATCGACCTTACAATAGTAAAACCGAATTGCGCTTTAATAATAGTTTAATGTCGAGATTCCCAAAAAAATTGCAATTACGAATAACAGTATGACTTCGTTACTCTGGTTACATCCAATGCGATGTGAAATGCGAACGAACGTAAAGTACAAATAATCAACACGTGTCTATATACACTTCTTTAATCTCCGGCGGAACGAAAGCGGACTCCTACCGCGACGTTGTTTATCGAGAAGGAAAGAAAAAGAAAAAATACTCGACGAAAACGACGATCGGGCCCAAAAACCACGAGATTCCTTCGAGTGTCCTCAAATTTTCATTTTCTTTTTTTTTTTACGCAAAATCTCCAG